CTACTCACAGACTCCCCAAGCCAGCGTTCGCTGGCTGTTGAATTCTGGGAGTTGAGGTCCAGACATCTTCAAGTTGCCAAGGTTGAGAAACACTGCCTTAACCAGTCATTGTCAACTTCACTTACAATGGCTACATATGCCCAACTGAAGCTCCACAGCTTCTTTTATCTTGTCCTTAGCAAATCCTTAAAGAAATATAACAATGGAAAGTGTAACAACACGGTTATTGTGCTATTATTTGTTAGGTCCGTTGGCAGCCAAACCGATCGACTGTATTTGACCGGCTGCATGAAAAGACCATTTCTCTGCCCGCCTTTCATTAGAGCAACATCTGACTGACCTCGTCTGAGCAAATAGACCAGCCTGGGACAGTCCCGCTGAGCGTTATTTGGATGAAGATCTCCAGAGAACAAAAGAGGGTGGATCAGGCTGGGAAATTGGGGAAACAGTCCAGAAGAAAGCAGGTTGCCTGGACGTTTTGTGGAGAAAACCTGGCAGACCAAATTCAAGCTCACTTTGAAGAAGATCTTCCTTTTGAGAGTTTAACTCCTCCCACGGAGTTAAAGATGATCTCCCCGAAGCCTTTTGGTAAATTCCAACTCACAGAAGCCCACCTAAAGGACACAACACTTAACCTCACAATTTCACACCATCTGTTTATCTTTTGACGGTCGAAGGCTGTTTGTAGCGCAATGGCGAAGCTTCGCCTATCGAAGGCCAAGAACCGGGAAGCTTTTCTCTGCCAGAAGACGCCAGAGAAGACGCCAGAAAGGGCAGGGAAGGGGGAGCTGGTGTAAAGAAGGTGTAAACCAAGATCCTCCACCATCACAAAACAGATCCTTTAATCCCAAGACACAGAAGGTCCTTGGGATATTTTTTTTCTATAATGACATTTTCTGATCTGCCAGTTGTAATACAATTCCTAAAAGATCTCAGCTTCCGCTCTGCTTCTACAGGAGAAAAGCAGAGGTGGTATTTGGCAGATTCGCACCGGTTCGCCCAGTGGCAGAAATTTTGGCCAGTTCGGTAGCGATGGCCAGCTGGCCCCAAACCTGAAAGCACCAGCAGCCCGAAGGACTCTGTGCAATCCCTCATTCCTGGGCGAGAATGTGGGCCCATCTTTTTACCCATCACCTCCTCGTAAGGCCACCCAGATCAACGCCCTCCAAGTGCAAAGGGGGGTGGGGGGGGCACACCAGGCTTCCAGGCATACATGTGCTGAGCAGTGGGGAAGTGTGGGATGGGGTTGGATTGGCCTGCAGTTGCAGTTCTGATGGAATCAGAAAGTGGGACTTCTAACTTCCTTGGTAAGAGAGGAACGCGGCCAGCACGACTTCTAAGGGGCTGGCAGGCCGCAGGGGGTCTTGCCAGGGGTGAAATCCAGCAGGCTCTGACAGGTTCTGGAGAACCAGTAGCAGAAATTTTGAGTAGTTCGGAGAACCGGCAAATGCCGCCTCTGGCTGGTCCCAGGAGTGGGGAGGGAAATGGAGATTTTGCACCAAGCCACGCTACCCCCAAGCCAAGCCACACCCACCAAGAAGCCACACCCCACAGAACCGGTAGTAAAAAAAAATCACCACTGGGTCCTCCACATGGAGGCTTCTGCTGAGAAACAGCCTTCAGGGATACAATAGCAGCCCATTTTTTCTTGCTAAAGAGCTCTTGATGCTTTCGCCAGAGGGTTCCCTCTTCCGTACTCCTCTTCTTAGTGCCCACAACTTGAGCAATGAATGGCCTGCACAAGGCCCCCAATTTTCCCCAACAGCCTGGAAAAGCTCTCGCAGNCCTGAGCCGGTGAGATTTGAACCGCTGACCTGCTGATCTAGCAGTAGCCTGCAGTGCTGCATTTAACCACTGCGCCACCTTGGCTCATTACACTGTCCACAGAAAATCTTGGTTGTTAAATAAAAACTGTAAATAAAGCATATACCCAAAAAACCCACAGAAAATTCCACTGATTTCCTCTAGCTCATTGTCAAAGACAGCATCTGACCTGGTTGGTCACTTCACTATTCAGAGAGATCCAACATTTTAGCCTTTGATGGAGGGAATTCTGATGAATTTTAGACCAGGAACCCATTAGGTCCACTTTGAATCTTGCTCTGTCCTTTGGTTTTCATAGAAGCAGAATCACAGAGTTGGAAAGGACATTGGAGGTCTTCTACTCCAAACCTCTGCTCAAGCAACAGTCCATCAACAGTTTTAGAAAAGTGGCTAGCTTGTCTCTTCCTAAATGACTCCAGTAATGGGGCACCCATGACCTTCTAAAGCAGTGGTTTCCAAAGTGGGGCCCGTGCCCAACAGTGGGGCAATTTGATTTTTAATGGAAGCAATTTGAACCTTGTTTAAACCAGGCTAATGGCCTTTAAGGCTTCCTCCACATGAGTAGAGTTCACTTTTTGAGTAAAGTAAGAATTATATGCCGGGGTGGGGGGGCGCATCAGGATTTTAGAGATGCTTAGGTGGGGCATTCCGGAAAAAAAGATTGTGAACCACTGTTCTAAAGGTAAACCGTTCATTAAGAAAGTTCTCCTTAGTTCTAGGTTGCTTCTCTCCTTGGTTAGTTTCCATCCATTATTAATCAGAAACTGTTTTCACACAGCAAGCTGAGTAGGACAAGAAATGCTAAACTAAAGAAAAGGGCAGAATCTCAGATGAATTGGTATGGGAGTATGTAGACATTTAATCAAGAATTGAAAAAAATTAATATGGGGAGCTTCTAAGCCTCTGTGGACTGAGTCAAAAGCCTCAGGAATTACCTGCCATGACTGGACATCTGAGATCCTCATTCTAAGCTTCATCATGGATGATCCAACTGTGGATCCAGAAATTGCATGTAAAGCGTGTGCCAGAGCATAAACAGCATTGTAGATATTGTAACTTTCTCCTGTCATTCTCTTTTCAAAAGTGTAATTGGGCAGATTCTGCACATTCTCCTTTCCTGTGCATTGTTTTTCCCCCTTTGGAGGGATCTTGCCTGGTTTATGGATCTTGCAGCCAAATACAATTTCCCACCATTCAGGGAGAAAAACATCGCCTTGGGGATTCAAGGGGTCTAAAGACAGGAGGAAATGGTGGAATTCAGAGACACCCCCGGAGTGGCCTCTAAAGTGCAAGACCCCATTATAAAGCTTTATAAATTCCAATGCGTCTTCGTATTCCTCCAAGCCAAGTTTCCAATGGGAAGTGAAGATACAAACTTTCTTAAATGATACTTTTCTGATTTTTTCAAAAAAATAAAATGTCCCTATTACAGTGTTAACAATAACTGTGTCTGCAAACAGAATCAACACTTCTGTTTTAAACAAAATAGGGAA